ATTGTAAATAATAACTTGTTCTTAATGACTTGCCTGTCAAATAAAAAGGTATAAAATTAGATCAACTGATTAGATCAGTGATTTTTCAGCGTATAAATGAGTAGCATTACTTCAGTACTATATTTATTTAATCCAATCGGATCATTCAATCATCGGTGTAAGAAGTTGTGGAGGTGCTTTGTTCCGATTTTTTTCCCTGTGCAATAAACGCAGCATAGGTTGGAACGCGCTGCCCTTTAGAAATAAAGTTCGGTTCGGTTCGGTTCGGCTCGCCAGCTCACGGATTGGTGAATTATCAGCTTCTTCAAAGGGCGCTGTGGATTCTGTGAGTTAGCAGCCATTTCTAAAAAAAAACAAACAAAAAAAACTTTATACTGTTTTTCTTCTTCGTGTCTTTATTAGCAGGCGACAGTTAGCTTCTTTGCTAGTTAGCTGTATTCAGCAATAAAATCCAAACTATTAAAGTAATATTGACTGATGAAATATTAGCCACAAAAATGCAGAACTTTTTCTTAAGTAAACCAATAGAAATAGTTTAAATGGACCAAACTGGTTCCCCTGCCTGGAGACCGTTTCCATAGCAACAAATAGGAGGACATTATGCAGCTTACTCTCATTTATAGTGTTAATTTAAGGTATTTAAGAGGATGCTAATGTAGCTGAATAGAAAGCAAATCTATTTTTTTTAAGTATTGGTTTGCAGTATTTGTATTTTTTCAATACATTGTGGTGTTCAAAAAGTGTCCACAGATGAATCAGCAGTTAATTTGGCCTCCAGAGGCGACAAAACATTATGACCTTATTGATGAGGTACCTGCCAATACCACTGATCTCTATTTATTCGCTGGATTACTGATTGCCTGAAAAAAGTCAAGCCCCTGTCCACCATATTGGTACTCCCCACTGCCATGGAGACATGCAATAAAAATACCTCCCTGAGCAGCATTGGGCTGCAAAAACCAGCAGTTTTCTGTCTGCAGGAAGACGTTCCACCGGTAATTTCCCAGTCAGTGGATGTAACCAATAAATCCATCTATAGCCGATGGATCTGGGACTGACTGGAAGAGTTAGCCATTGACATTGGGTCAAAGGTTAGAAAATAGAAATTAGAGTAAATAGAAACTAATTCACTGCAATGTCAATGCAGTAATTCTTTATTGGAGTGGATGATGCTGTCGTTTTTGTAATGTTTGTTGTATTTCTCATTTGAAAAAGTCATGAGCTGAAATATAATGCATGTTATATTGACGGTGAAAAAGCAACTGAAACATTTGACCCATATATATATACAGAGAGAGTGAGAGAGAGAGATATGTAATTGCTGTAGCAATGTGATAGATATATGTGTGTACAATAAATACACACAATATGTTATATTGCATGGTTTAGAGACTCATTGACTTCATGACTATAAAGTTAAAGTTAATCTACTGATGCTGTGAAACACCCAGTGTGTGTCAAAGTGATGAATTTATCTTTATTTTAAAAGTCTTAAAGTCGTAGGGAAATCATATTTAAATATCAAATCATTCTGGCATAAACATATATATAAATGTACTCTTTATGACATGATGTTGTCCCAAAAGTAAGAAAAGTTCTATTTAAAAAAAAATCCTGTCTTAAACTCTATGATTTTTTTTTTGGTTATCTTCTGCAGGCCAGTTTGTTCTATGTCAGCCTGAACACCTAAATTCAACCAATCATATATCAACGGTCATCTGTCAATCACATTTTTTTCGGTCATCTTGATTCATGTGTCGCAGCTAATATACGCATCGGTTGAAATCAGAATCCTTTCCTTTCCCATTGAGTTGCGTCCCAGTGTTCACGGGGATGGACGTCTGTGTCTTCGGCAGGCGTAGAGCTAACAGAACTGGCAGC